AGGCTAAAGTGCACAGCTGGAAATGTTGCACGCAAGTGGGCTGACCGTCACGGTTCCCTTGAAGGTTCGCTGTGCGTCACCGCAAGGCATTGTGGGACTTGTAGTCGTTACTGCCTTTCGTTTGACCCGCGGATGACAAAAGGGGACAGTGACAGAGAAATCACTCATTTAACTCTCGATTACGAGTTAGAAACATTTCCGTGTTACAATATTTCGATTTTAACTTAATGAGTAAAATGAGCTTGAGTCGGTGAAATTAATTTGGTGTTTTTTTTTGTTAGATGGCCCCTGGGTCATTTCCATAGCAACATGGCAGCGAAAAACAATCGTGGGACATTTAATCCACTGTACATTGTTCTTTAAAAAAAATAAACAATCGGCAAGTTTCGATTGGCGCCCCTTTTCCAATGGACTCTCAATTCTTGGATAGTTCAGCCTTAAAAGCGGTGGATGATTATTGCCAGTACAGACGGTTTGTTTCACTCATTCATTTGTTGTTGTAAATACACCCCTTTTTAAATTACATTTTTAAAATTATTTTTTTAATTTGAATTAGTATTGGACGAAAGGCTGCATATTTGTTACTATTAAGAAGTCCAATTGTTTTGTGAAAGTATGATTTGAGGATCAAATATCTTGAATAGAACGGTTTCATGTGGACATGGCATTTAATGCGCATTCTCTAATACGACAGAAATACGGAGGCTCATGAATGTCTTTGATGAGTTTGAATCACTCCATCTCAGTATTAAAGTAGCAAATTATACTTTTCTTATATGTGATTCAATGACTTCAGCAGAAGGATGCATTTTGATTTTGTGCAATCATGATTGAATCAAGAACGGAATGTGTTGATTCAATAATTCCATAGCTGCAGCTGCCAAATCTTAATAATTTGTGTCATCTTTAGCACAAATGACACCCTACGTCACTACGGTGATATCACACGGGCAGAAATAGGCAAGGACCTACTTAATCCTCTTGAAGAACACGGCATGACTTAAATTACCCTTTTTGGGGAGGGGGGGGGGGGTTGAAATAAAGCAACGGTTTTCATTGCTGTCTCTTGCAGGCTTGTGGGTGATGACGACGGCGGCAGACTGTTTACTCCTGAGCAATATAAGGAGTACAAGAGGAAAATGGTGCCACAACGAGTGAAAAATAGACTCTATGTGAGCTTTGGTGTACCGGGAGGCATCGAGTGCAGACTCGTCGGTCCAGAGACACCGTGCTTCTGCGCACATAGGTGGTGTAGAGTTGTTTACTCTCCCATTTGACTGCATACTGTAGTCACTGATCAGGATCCAATAGAGATCAATTCAGATCAATTGTCATTATAAGTCTGGATTGACACAGTCAAAGAGGTATACGTTCAGCATGATGTTTGTTTGTAGGTACTGTAACGGCCTGTTTTTTTTTTTTCTTCATATAAACCATCTCTCAGGTGTCAAATGTTGAATGAATATCCCGTTGCGGTCGCAGGATTACACTTTGCGCTCAAGTGTACATCTGCGGACCCCACGTACTGCTCTCATTAGTTTCATTTTGTTTTGTCAACTCGTCCTGCTGCGCCAGCCAATCAACAAGGTCCTTTTCGGTTTTTTTTTTTTTCCGGCAGCCTCTCTCTGTGCTAAGAGTCTTGTCTAATCTCGCGGCTTTGTTTGGTTCCTTGTGACAACAAGTTGTGTATTGTGTGTGTAGAGCTCTACTTTTCCGGCGCTCTGTCCTTGGTGCTTTTTATCTTATGAATTTATGCCGCATTGATTTAAAAAAATTTATCTTTATCTGGTCCAGCTGTGTTTGCCATTCCCTCTTTCTAGCATTTACACAGCGATACAGGGGATGAACCTAAAATGCACTAGAACCTTAACACATGAACTTCATTTGACCATCTCTCAAATCATAAATATAAATGGCATTCCCATAGCCATCCACCTCTATTGAACAATTCAGAAGTTTAGAGTCAGTCAAATGAAATGTTATTCGTGCCATAATCTAGTCACTGATTTATTCGACCGTGCAGGTGTCGTTGACGAAAAGGCCCATGTCTTGCAGATACAAGCAACATAAGACGGATTTTGAGATCATTCCTTCGGAGAGACCTTTACTCCTCCCATGCCGGGTGAAGAAATGTCTTTGTTCGGCTTATGAGTATCTCCCCCACATCGGCGCAGCACCCGTCCGCTGCGGGTGTAAACATTTACCTCAAGATCACACCGAAGGCGGCAGACATTTGTGCAGAAAGTGTGAGTCAAAAGCTCCCGAGCATGAATGAGCAGCACCATTTAACAGACTTGTGTAGACACATCACAAAACATTTCCTTTTCAGGTGACTGTTCTGAGTTCAGGAGTCCGTACACATGTGGATGTGGCCAGCCCACCTATAATCACCAGACCCTGGTCAACCACGATTTGTTAATTTTATTTATTTATTTTTTAAAGATACGGAATTTCACAGACAGAACACCCGCACTATTATCAATGAAATGATTTTTACCTGTCAGGTTGAGACAAAGTCCGAGAGGGTGGCACGAGGTCGCCCCGTGGGAGGAGATGTCCCTTATGCTGCAATGGGCGGACTGACCGACTTCAGCTCCTTGGTGGATGGTTACATTGCTTTGGAAGCTAGTGGATTGCGTGAGTAGGCTTTTATTTTTCTCCCCCCCCCCCCACACATCTTGAATCTATTGGAATAGATAAAGAAGAAAAAGTGATCCATCATACGTCATTGAATGGACATTATATACACGGTTGCCAAAAAGTAATACAGAGTATATTTGGCTTTCGTGTGAAGTTTGAGGCTGAACTTAAAGCGCATCATAACCTGTAAAAACGTTACAATACATATATCGCTAACGTTTTGTGAGTGTTGTATTTTTCAGTTGAAGAGTCCGAAGATGACTGCGAGTAAAGATGAACGGCAGTCACGGATGAAACAAGCATCTCCTGATGTTGAGTTGTATCGGCAAACAGAAGACCAAATGAAAGGGGGATGCTGTTGCCAGTTCAGACTGGACATAAATCACGAAAATGTGATTATCAAAAAAAAAAAGTCTTGTCACGAGCCATCATCATGATTATATGCCATATCCAATCAACATTTATTGTTATCAGTTAGACGGAGATGAAGTGACACGCGAGCAAACCACCCGAACAAATCACACGTTGACAGCGACTGAATTCATCGACATGCTCTTTGGGATGACAGAATAGAGATTTTTTTTTTGAAGTTCAAGACATTCGTTATCAGCGACGCCTCGGTCGAGGCACTGCCGCGGGATGCCGACAGGCTTGCGCAATTCAAATCCACGGTGTGCGCTGATAAATCCAAAGAATAGAATTGATAAGCTTGACCTCATCCAACCATACATTTTCTATAGCGCTGCAGAATTGATGGGGAGGCGGAGGGGAGGGGGGAGGGGCCTGACTACACCCTGGACTGGTTCCCAGTCAATCACAGAGCAGCACATAAGAGACAGGCAACCGTTTACATTCACATTGCCGACGCAGAAATCCGCCAAGTGAACCCCTACAATCAAGCTTGACCTGTGAACTTCAAATTCAAACCATTTCATATTGATCGACTGAACAACGGTGATAATACAGCAATATTTATTTTCTTCTTCATTTATCGTCTTTAAGAAATTGACGTGACAAAGCCAGATTTGTTTGCATCTGATTTTGGACTTCCAGACTCGTGTTTACGTCGAATTTTTGTGAAGCTGTTGTCGTGAAAGTTTAAAAGATTGCAAGTCCAAGTCCAAAACATGTTTAATATATTTATATGTTTAATAAAGCTAACAGTTTCTTGGAAAAGACTCATCGATTGCGCATGGTCAATCGCAAATACAATATTGAAGAAAAAAAAAATTGCAATCAGGATTATTTTGCAGCCCGAAGCACTATACTCCCAATAGTCGTTAAACAGCACGATCTACTGTTTTTGTTGCTTGTTTACTAGCAAAGCCCCCCAATATGGGTCTTTTTTTCCCCCCCTATGGTTCGTTTTTAACATCTAACATCCGCCCACTCAACATGTCACCAAAAATAACAGCAGCACTTCAGTGCCCGTGTTCGGTGTTTAATTTTTCCCGCATAGATGTATTGTCTGCCATTGATTAATCCTATTCCTCATGGCAGATCAGAAGCGACGCCTGCTGATTTAATCCGCACCGCGAATGGAGAGTGAGGCGAGTTCGCTTGCTCGATTGGTGGCTCACTTCCACAAAAAAAAAAAAATTGTATTCCTGGGCTCTAAATGGGGTTGTTCAACCCCCCTCAAAAAAAGCGTTTCCACTGCGCTAATGTCGCGGTCATACTCGATCAGCATCCAGATGGATGCTGGCTGGTGCATCTCAGGTGGTGCTGAGGGCAAGGAATTCAGGTTGCGTGTGAACAACGTCATGGGTGCACCTGGGTCTCGATGGCCCAAGTGCTTTGGGAAGTGAGTGGAAGGGATCCCATGTGAAAGCTGACACATCCGGTGTGGATCTCCAATGACCGTCAGTGCACTCGAATAAGAAATTCTATTATTTCAATCCACTCTTGTACTTAAGTCAAAGTAGAACTTGAGAGATTGAAATGTCGGCAATTATGACGTACTATTTTTACTGCCGTACATTATGTAAAAAAAAACAAACGCTTTGCTAACTTCGCACAGCCAAAAGTAGTTGCCTGCACACGTCAGTTTGCCTCTTTTTATTTACGTGCATCGTACTGAGGCCCAAAATGATGTTCCGTGGCGTTTTAAACCAAGAGCGAGTTAGTAATTGTGTTTACTATCAAACATGTTCCAATAGCTTTTTTTAGAGTTGCAAAATGAGTGATGAAAAATGCTGAATTAGCTAATACGCTATCAAAAATACGTTCCCATAGCTTTGTTAATATTGTGAACTGAATACCAAAAAAAAAAGTGAAATGAGCTTATAACTGACTCATCGCGATACCTTTTATGTTTTTTTTTTCTGTATATTCTGATCAGACATTTCCACTTCACTTTCCTCCACTGACAAAAACAAGCTAACCCCCCCCCCTTTTTTTTTTTTTTTTAATCCACAGACCGGTGGGCAACGGGGTTGCGGCGCCACACGAGAAACTGTCGAAACCCCCAAAATAATTCCTGTCACCACACATTATTAGTGTGGCACAAATACAATTCAAAGTACCGGTAATTGCCTCTGCGTAGCAACCGCATTTAGGAGATGGCAGCATTTTACTTTTGGCCGAAGGACATCACTACCATGCCCTGTCTGATCCCCATGGAAACCACACCTAGCTTGACTGACAGACCAAGCCAAAAAAAAAAAAAAAAAAAACAGGAGACGCAGCACGGAACATTAAATTGGCAATTACCATGCATTGAAATACTTAATTACCCCTGTGACAGTTATGGGATACGTAAAAGGATGCAACTGTAGAGGGGGAACATCATTCAGCACAGACAGACAGTTGCTGGTTAACAACCAATTATCATACTGACCCAGATACCACGCCAAAAATAAGAAAAAGGATCAAAACAATGACAAAATAGGTTACATGCAAGCAATATAATTCACATACGATCATGATTTCTCAAATTTTAAAGGTGTATTATTACAGTCCAGTATCTGGCTATTGTTGTCCACAGAACCACAGTCCACCATTTCAAGATGTTAACGATAAATAAAATAATTACAATAAATAGATGAAGCAGTTTGGTTTTGAGACGAAATCCTTCATCCAACTAGCCCGATTCCCAAAAGTCTTAAAATCGGTTGATCAGAAGTCAGCCCGCCACAATGCTACCCCCAGCCTTTTATTTTCTCCAAAAATTACAATTGTAAAACTTGAATTGTCTGTTTCTGTGCGGCGTGTTCTGTAGAAGAACAAAAAAAAGAAGAAACACGCTCACAATCATATGGCGCTGACACATTAGATGTGTGAACATCTCTTTTGTGGGAAGAACAGTGGGGAATTGACAGTGCATGACAGTGCAGCGACTTCATGGAGGCTGAGATTCAATTCCCTCCTGTGTCGGTTGACAAGGAGGAGGAGGAACTAGAAGAGGTCGTGAGGAATGGCTTTTTAAGAAGCTGCGCAATAATGTGATGGAGGGATAGCCTAGCATAAGTGCCGAATCGTAATTTTATAAGCGCCGTTTGTATGGTCAGTCTTATTAAATTGGGCATGTGTAGCCTAGCTAATGAATAAACTGCTCTCGCCGTTAAGCTAAAAGCGTGACTGCGATTTCGATTGATGCCTCACGCGCAACTGTACGTAAACACGTTAGCATGACACACTCTTCCGCTTGCTGAACATTTATACGAAACCTGGCCGTCCCTTTCATTATTCGGACACACTTGATGGCGGATTGAAAACCGCGGATGGAAAGTTCTGTTTGTAGCCCGACTCAAGGGAACTTTAAAGTTGAACCGCATGAATCATTAAAGCTACTTTAGGGGTCTCATCTTGGCTTCAAATACATCAATGAAAGGTTCTAACATGCCATTTGAGGATTTTTTTGGACGGTGTCAATGACAATGAAACCTTTTCTGTTTTTGGCTAGCAAGGCGCTCACAATGGATTTCATCAGACGTACTTTGTGTTTTGTTTTGAGTTTCGCCATCAAATCCGACGCGTTCAGACACACCATGCTACATACTTGCGTCAGCTGCTAATTATTCATAGGAATTGTGTTGACATTTATGCAAAAAAATGATAAAGACTGTCTACTTGCTCCGGGAAATGACAGCAAATTCGGAATTTCAACATATTTGTATCTTTGGATAATTTGAATCCGCTTATCTTTTGGTCTCTTGTCAGTCAATCCGACATTACTCCCGACACGATGACCTTTTCCGAAAGCTGTCTCGCGTGGACCCCAGTAAGTTTCCAGGCAGCTGTCATCCAACAGGTGTCCTCCACCGAGGACGGCGGCACATCGCACCTGAGCCGAACAAATGCGACACTTACAATGGCTTGACCTTCTGTTGAGGCGTCCATCGGGAGACCGATGCGCCGAACACACTGACATCAAAATACGTGACTTTAACCTTTTCATGCACCAATAATGATAATCTTTAACCTGATAACATGATGCGCTGTCCATTGTAGTCACCGCTGTCCCTGAAAGGGTTAAACTAATAAGACGCCCTGTTAAAATATATATTGAATCCTGTGAGTTAATTCATCAAAGTCCAGGTTAGTTATCACTTCCTCGAAGCTGCCAAACACTTGGCTCACTGTGAATGATGCCTCAATAGAAGCCCGACAGGACCGATTAAATAATTGTATAACCACCTTTGGGCCACGATGACTCCTGTGGCTCATTATAACAGCAGCGCTTTGTCACCATATTACAATAGCACCCGGCACAAAGAAGCGATTTCACTTTAAGGTTGACTGAGTTGTGCACGTCAACATTTAGGCAAACATCAGGTGACCTTTCAATTTATCCCGCTACATTTGTACACATTTTGACACTTACTCAAATCCGAGCTGTTGTCCCAGAAAAAAACAAACAAAAAAAAAAAGGTGTGGAGCCCATTGACGCGACTTCCTGAATGTGACTATCTCCTGAAGAGGGCCCGCAAAGTCTAATTCCTGCCGGTAATCGTCATGATTGGGGTTTGCGACTTTGTGAGACATGTTCTCTCACTTGTGTCTCATTCCTCATCTCTCGCAAAGCATCCTGTGTGTCACAAAAGGCCCCTCGCAGCATCCTCCGCGCAACTTAAGGAGCAGCCTTGCAAGATAGGGCAATGATTTGCTAGATTATATGGCTGGGGAGCTGACATACAAAAGGATGATGAATGGGAGGTAAATGAAGCGCTTGGTGTTACACACTCATTTAAGACCTATTTGGGTGTGCATATTAAGGGTGCTCCCTTGAGAGTGGCTTTTTTTTTGGGGGGGGTGGATTATGCGCACGTCTGCAGGCCCTTTGTGCCTGTTGCTGCTTCCATCTGATGGGAGGAGCTCTGGAAGAAAATTACATTGAAAAGTGATTCAAGAAGAACATTCATGAGGCGGTTTTTAAATGTTCTTCTTACTCAGGCGCCATCAGGAGCACTTTTGGTGCGATGCCATATGTGAAGTGTGTATCATTGGCACTTTTATGACTCTCAGTAGAATACGGGTCTTGTCGTGAGGATGACGCAATACGTGATTGTACATGCCATCTGAATTGACGGCATCTTCACATCCTTTAAAACGTGCGCATGCTTTCCACACATCTAATCCGGCCTGTCAGAAAGTATATTATGTCCAAAGGTAAAATTAGATTCCCAGGCCACAACGTACACCACAACTAGCAATATGCTAAACTAAAGAGGTATTTGTATCTTGACCAAAGTACCCTAAGGTGTCTATCGATTCGATCAATTCAATCTTTTCACGGTGCCGCGGACACATTGGGTGAGTAACCGGATCCATGCATCGGTTATGTAGTGCGTCATGCTCAATCCGAGACAAAAAAACAAAAACAAAATATCACACCGGGTACTGGAAACAGACTATTGACTATTTTGGGTTGTTTTAATGAGTTGAGACGTTTTGAGAAAGAAAACACTCCAGCAATGACAGCATCGGCGGTGACGCTCGCGTGGCGCAAAGCGGCGCCGCGTGCAGCTCTGACGCGCGTCTGGTGCGCGCATATAAAGCGCAGTCCGCACCAGGCGCACTTCAGATCTCTGAGGAGAGACGCATGAGCATTGCGCACCGACACCTCAAGAGCACAGTGGAAAATGTAAGTATACCGATATCATATTCCTTAGATCTGGATTGCGATGATGATAAAGTCGGACCTTTTGGCGTTTTAACCCGAGTTTACGAATCGTAAAGTCACCAGAGCTTTCCCGAGGAGTCTTCCGTTGATGTTGTTTGACTGTCACTCATGTTTCCTTTCCACTCCTTCAGATGCATTCTAACTTTGTCAGTTTGGTGGGGACCCTGGCATTCGTGCTGTGGGCGTTCCTGTGCCTGGGTACTCTGACAAACGGCTACCCGGTGAAACCAGAGAACCCCGGCGACGACGCCCCTGCCGAGGACCTGGCCAAGTACTACTCAGCCTTGAGACACTACATCAACCTCATCACAAGACAGAGGTTAGGATGGAGCGCATGGTGGTTAATTTAAGAAACCGTATCCACAAGTAATTCATTCTACGGGACCTCCTATTTACGCAAAAAACGCATCAAAAATTATAATCAAGCGATAGTTCTGACTGACAGATGTAATTTGCTGCTCATCAGTGCGACTGAACGTCGTCTTAGCACTGCAGAGTTGCAATTACCGTTTCCAATTGTGTTTTTAATTTGTCTCGTTTAGTTTTGTACGGTAACTGGTAAATATCGGATAAAAAAAATGTGCACACGGAGAGGTGTTGCAAATATATTGATTGCCCTTTTGCAAACATGCATCACTGCAATATTATGACGAATGGGAACAAATCTCTTCTATTGCGTGTGCGTGCATCATCACTTGTGTGGATGTGTTGATAATTTGCTTCTCCGGGCAGCAAGGGTTAAGTTCACTTATCGTTTGAGGAGCAGGCAAGGAGTCATGATATCCTGCGGGGATGCAATAATCTGCACATGCTGCGTTGGTCTGTTTTACTGAAGCTTCGATCTGCATGAACAAATGATATAAATCCATACAATGAAAAAAAGGTGGGGGGGAATATTTCTGTTGAAATCACATTTTGTCTCCTGGTGTGGTCATTTGTTAGTAAAAAAGAGGCACGAGGAAGAAAAATGAAATGAAAATGTCCTCACCTATAATCCTTGCTTGATTCCGTCTCATTCCGGTTTCTTGGTCTCCCAAGGTATGGCAAGAGGTCCAATCCTGAGATATTGGACACACTGGTCTCAGAACTGTTACTGAAGGAGAGCGCAGACACACTTCCACAGTCAAGGTGTGTGTTGTGCAGTAAGACAAATACACCCACCGGTAACATTAGATACAGGTATCCCTGCACGATCTATGAAAATCCAGTCCAAGCTCTTTACTTGGTCTCAAAAGATTTTGTGCGGGTATCCCTAATTCAGGGGTAAGCAAACTCCAGTTCCTCGAGAGCCATATCATACCTGTCTCAGATCTCTCTCTACTTCAACACACCTGATTCAAACGATCAGGTCATCGGCAAGCTCTGGTGAGGCTCTTGAGGAACCGGAGTTCCCTCCCCCTGCCCTAATGTTTTTTCCAGTCGAAGAATATTTCATTTTCAAAGGAAGCTGACCTCTGTGTTTCTTACCAGATACGAGCCATCATTGTGGTGAGGAGGTCATGGGTCAATCTGCCCTCCACGTGTGTAAACATCATGTCATCGTACGTTCACCAAAAGGACCGCCCTGACCGGGTCACATTCCTCCTCCTTGCCTGTCTGCTACCCTTCTGCTGCTTTGTACCATCAAATTGTAAATATTATACACGCGGTCATCATTTGTGAATGTCTCGAGTAAACTGGGGGACAGGGTACGTCATTTGTAGTGTATGTTTGTGCAATTAAAGAGTAATGATTTGAAATATGTGTTGGTCTATCTGTCCGATTGCAAGCTCAAGAAATTGCAAGAACCTTTCACGTACAGTATTTCAAAATTATTAGCAGTTTGTTCGGCAATGTATTTCTTCAAGACTGATAAAGACTTAAAAAGGCTTTACAATATTTAGGTCACAAGTCTACGATGTGCAAAACTTCACAATTCAAATTTAAAGTTGTACAGAATATCTATTTTGGTGTTTGCTCCCGTTATTTTGTTAAACCCGTGTCAATGAATGTTGCGAAAACTTGGTGTATGGCTCCCTCTAGTGGTAGACAGAGACATAGCTGGATAGATGGATGGCTAGATAGATAGATAGATAGATAGATAGATAGATAGATAGATAGATAGATAGATAGATAGATGTATTAAAATAAATCAAAATAAATTCGCACACACACACACACAGAGGTAGATGCTGCCTGGAGGTACGTAATAAACACGTTCTAATTTTGCTACTGTTTAAACTTAATAGCATTTAATTTGTGTGGCATTTCTATCATCGTACCCGCAATCAATTAGGATACAACTATCTGCTGTTACATCATCGTAATGCCCAATAGAAACTGTCCCAAGGTAGTGCAGCTGAAAAAAGACTGATTGCAGTTCATGGTTAAAGATAATGAGGCACGATTTAGCAAGCGCTAATGATTTTCTGTCGCTTATAGTTTAATGGTACACACGCCGCAATAGTGTGCGGGCAGCGTGGGTTCCCACTCAGCGACGGTGTGAATGTGGGTGCGAATGGTCGTTTGTCTCTATATGTGTTAATGGCGACCAGTTCAGGGTGTAGTCTGGCTTCCGCCCGAAGTCAACTGGCATAGGCTCCAGAAACTCCCCGTGACCCTGTTCGGGATAAACGGTGTTGAAAATGGATGAATGGATTTATTTCAGAGACAACGAGATGAAGGTGATGGAAAGGCAAGAGTCACGAAGCTCCCCTGTAAACACTTTTAGCTTTAAAACCTTTGGTCTTATTAACTGTGTAAAACAATCTTGCTTATTCGTTCGTTTAACGCAAATATTGAATGAACCAGAGGGTGATTTAAAAAAAAAAAAAAAGTGCCCACTGAGTGAAGGTTGAACCTCGGCTGCTATTGGCCCGTGTTTTGTATGACGCCATTCAATAGGCGGGGCTTACACGTGTGATTGGCACCACGTTCTCTTGCCAGTCTGTTGCGGGACCAGGACTGAGACTGAGTGGGGGTCTTTAGTGTCCACCCGGGACATTTTGGCGAGCGATTGCGAACTCACACGCTCGTTAAAGGTAAGAAACAGCTTCCGCCCGCCTTCGTTTTGGTTCATTCTTCCCTTTGAATGGGAATCAGATTGACAGTTTGTCGCGTGTGAAGAGTTGGAGGGGCGCGTTGGTAGGTCGCGTGAGCAGCTGTCATTATGCGGCACGCGGGCACCAATTGTGGGACACGGATGGATGTGTCTCTTTCTTTGCTCCCTGGGCTGAAACGCGGTGACTGTGTCGTAGTTGCAAGCGTACACACCACAAAGGCTGACGGATAGATGACTAAAAAAATGGCCGCACGTGCGGCTAGATGCACGCAATACTCACGAAAAGACGCATTCGTTTTGACAGTCATTTGGCATCCGAGAGAAGAAATAATGTTCTGATTGCACAGAGGACATGACATAATCGTGCATATGCAATGCTTTTTTTTGAAAATCATCTCACAGTTTGAAAGTTTCCAACTAAGTTGAATTGTGAGGGTCTGATTTGGATCTATTGGTACCAGGGCCGTTGCTAGGCATAAAGCTCTAATCGAGCACGCCCCCCCCCCCCTTCATAGTGGTCCCCCAGCCACCGGTCCGGAGCCCGTTACCAGTACCAAATTAAATTATTTTCTATATTATATTAAATTCTTATTACAGCTCTGCAGTGTATTTATATTGTAAAATAAAAAACAGGAAACAAATCGCGACGTCTCTAGGTGAGCTCTACCACGTGAAATCAAATTGTAATTACACCGAATCGTCCTTGAATCTGATTCCACCCCAAGAACCAAGCTTCAGATCGAATCGTGTTTTACTGGAGTCATACACACCCCTAATAATAACAACATGAAGTACCCTGGTGCCTTTTCCCCACTGATTTGGACATAAAGCAGGCCGCAGCTCTGCAGTATGGATTTGTCATAGTGACCACAGAAATAATCCGGAGGATGAGAAAAGGGAAATGATGTGAAAAAAAGTTAATGGTTGCATACAATTCTCATGGCTTGGCAGGATCTGGGGGAGTTTAGGCTCATCCATGCTGCTTCGGGGTGTTATTCAGGCTGCACAGGTAGAGCTTTCTTCTTTACCTCGTCATGGTACATTTACCTTAGCTCAGGACACTGTGAAACTCCACGAATAACTTTTTCCTCCAGTTTTTCATGCTGTTTTCACTTTACAGCTACACTCAAATGTCTTGCTATACTGTCACTCTGAAATCACTCAGCCACCCTTTCTCCTTATATTAGTGAGGTGTTGTGACAAAGCGCTGTGGCCTCCGCTCGCAACAGAAAGCAAAAAGAAACTCACAAGTGGTGCTTTAGAACTCACCAAACAGTCACCGGGCTGGCTCTGGCTTGCGCAGTGGCCAAGTGCAGCCTATTGATTTTCTGTTTTGTCTCACTCTCCCCTGGAAGAGCCATCCCATAATAATTGACTAACAAGATGTCAGATCTATTTCATATGAGTATCCAGGAAGAGGTCCATTGTGGGCTGTGGACGGCAAATAAGCCTTTGACAACCTTTTTATAAGCTGTTTCGCCCGGCTTCACGTGACGAGGAAAGCCCATTTGAAGGGGCAACCGGACCCCACTAAAGAGAAGGGCACGCTTGTCCTCTCAAATGCATCGGGCTTCCCCCCTCTTGCCTTCAATCTTACAATAGTCTAATCAGATGAGCTGAATCTAATAGCGCGGAGGAAGGAGTGTAGACAGTGCATTCGGGTATACGAGTCTCAAGGCAGGGAAGCCCATAATGACCCGAGCCAGGATCCAGCATGACCTTTATTGTTCTGCGGGCGTGGAATGAGACCCATTGAGAGATTTGTCAGCCCGCGTGCACTTTGTGCACTGGTTCTCGGCAAAAGGGTTGAGAAAAAAAAAAAATTAAGCCAATGTTTCTGAAGTTTGGATCTGGAGTTGTTATATATTCTGACTTCTGTCCGACCTCAGTAATTACACAGTAACTACACACACTGTGAGACAATCGCAAAACTATTGCGTTGGTATAAAACGAAGGAAAGGCATTTCAGGAAACTCCCAATGTCCTGCTATGCGTTCAGATGTTTGGCCAACAAGTTTCGAGTGATATTGACCCAGATAAGAAGGCCCAAATAATACACCGAGGCATCGGAGGAGTGACTCAACCTACCCAACAATGGAACATGGATCATCGGTGCTCCTCCCTCTCCTGTCCATTCATCACCGTCTCCCAATCGTGGTCATTAACGGAGGGTGTGAACCTGCTGGAAAACACAATTAACCCTTTCAGGGACAGCGCTTACTGCAGTGGACAGCTTATCATGTTGTCACGTTACAAGGGTGCATGAAAAGGGGTTAAAGAACGTCGCCGAGCTCAAGAGTGAATTTGTCACGTTACACTGGCGAGCGATAAGTGAACGCGTGAGAGAAATGGAAATAACTGCCGCATCCGATTGCGCTGACTCACCAATTTTCCGAAGCGGTCGTGGTCTTAGAGGGACTCTGCGGATAAATACAAAACAAACATCGCTTTTTTGCTGACTGCTCTCTGTGCGTTTTGTACAGGGAGTTTGACACACGATTTAAGACTCATTCTCATTTGGATGTACGCAACCCGACAAGAGGCTCAGTGTGCCAAAGTCGTAGTGGAGCGTCATGTGACAAGCTTCTCACGATCTGCACGACGGGGCAACTTGCATGAATGTGACCGAAGAGAATGAGGTCTTTTTTTTTTTTTTTTGGTCAAAGAAAGGTGCACTGATGCGTGACATTGTTGCGATCAATTCGTTTCTCTCAGAAATGGAAACAGAGGGGAAAATGCTTGCACAGCTATCGTGTTCAAATTGGACCCGGCGTATGATATCTTGTTCATTGCCAACAAGTTGCAAACCAAAAACTGTACCCTTTTTTTTTTTTTAACAAGGTGCAAACCAAAAACTGTACCCTTTTTTTTTTGTCATCTTTCAAATTAGTTTGGTGGGGTGTACTTTTTTTCTACTCCTTTATGTCATATTTTCACGACATAACTTTTTGCGTACAAACTCCCAACTAAATTGTATTTGTGTGCCGGACTCCGTTGTGCTTCATCGTATCCCATAATTCCATTTCCACAGATCCAATCGAGGTAAGCGGCGAATGCACGGATAGGATGACGATTATGTCGTCATTTGCAACGGCGGCCATCTTACGGGTGACATGTGTAATCCTCTTACTGTGCGGCTGCGTTAACTCAGAGAGTGACCTACATTGGGGTTGGCGCGGAGGCAGAGGCAGGCGGGCGAGAGGCGGGGAAGGGCGGTCGGGTGGGAGGAGTCAATTCGTGTCCAAAGTCGCGTATTCGACAGCGGAGGTGCACCTGGATCATCTGATGAGATTCTGGACAAAATGGAAACATTATCTACCATATGATGATCATACTTAGGCCCGACTGAGTATAAGGTGGACCTCATGTTGTAAATCGCTCGTCCTGGACCAAGGCCCCTAGAGCGACATCTGGACTCCCGGTGCTGCATCGAGCTCCCCTGACCTTCTTTGTGATTGTCACGTCATTGCGAGGAAGCGGGAGTGACAGCTGCTTTGAGAGACCGGTGCACTTCCCACCCCCTCCACCTCTCCGAGCTCTATGATGTGCAAAGGAGTAAAGAGAATATAAGACGGTATCAGGCTAGGAGGAAAATAAAAACAAAAATTAAAAAAAAGAGGAAAGCTGGTGTCTAAGGCCGCATGTACTTTAGTTGACATCTTAAAAGTCGCCAAAATGCAAACTTGAGTTGCGAATTGAAGCGCGAGATTCCCTGCTGGGAGGGATTGAAATGACACAACCTGGTGCTGTTGGTCTCTGCTTTTGAATTTGACATGTGGGGGGGGGGGGTACATTAAAAATAAATAAATAAATAAATAAAA